ACCCATTGTGAGCATCCTGGGCGTTCTTCAGAGAAAGCACCTGCACACAGACAACATCCACAGCAGTCTCCTTACCTTCTCTAAACACACTTGCTGCAGCGTGACTGGTTTTATATTAAAATTACATTTAAGTCAAATATTGTGATTGGAAGCCAAAAGAGTTTTTCACCACACCTCCCATCTGGAGCTTATCATGCAAGTCATATCTGATGTACCCAGCAAGATGTTGCACAAGTCATAATTTAGGGAGCAGGAGAGTCAGCAGTGCTGATTTCCCTACCCTCAAGGCAAGCCCTACAGGATCACAGAATGGCTGAGGTGGGAAGGGACCTGTGGGGACAATCTGCTACAAAGCCCTGCCCAAGCAGGGACACCTAGAGCTGGTAGCTCAGACTGTGTCCAGATGGATTCTGGGTATCGGCATCTATAGCAACAACATAGGTTTCTGAGAAATTTTGATAAAGTACATGGAAACAGGATCTGAGTTCATACTCCTCTTCCACTTTGCAATGGCAGCAAACGACCAAAGCAAAAGGACTGCTCCTGCACTCAATATTGTCATTTCCTACATAAAACACATACCAAGAGTTATTTGCTACCTGAGCAAAATTTTAAAAATGCATAAATCAACCTACAGTTACCTGCTTAGAATATAGACTATAGCATTTTTGTTATATTTTTTAATGGGCCTGACTTCATTTCTAAACATGTACGATACGATTTTATGTCCACGCAAGGAAGGAAGAGAAAATAATTTATGTAGCCACTAAGTGATCAATAAAAACTCTACAGGTACATCCTAATTACATATCAAAGATCTATCTCAAAAAAACAGAAAAAAACCCCACACAAGAAAAGGCAAGAAACTCTTCATTTTATAATGAAGGAACATCCCCTTTCAAAATCGATGAAAATTGATTGTCCTTTCAAAATCAATGAAAATTGATTGTCCTTATACACACCCCAGAGGAAGAGCTCTGCTCACTCACACCACAGTGACAATCACAGTTCAGCACACGTGCATGTCACACACTGGAAGACAACTCTGTTCCTCATATGATCCCATCAAATGCAATGCACCAAGTTTATTCTGACCTACCTTGCTTATCTGGGCTTCAGTGCTACCTCTTGAACCCAGCAAAACCATAGACAAAGCAGAAGAAATACTAAATGGTGAAAAGAACACATTCTGCCCACTTTTCTTCTCACACAGCATTCTTAACAGCTCCACAGCAAAAGTGCTGTTGGCTGCACAGAGGCTTTCCATGCTTCCGAGCCTGGCACATAAAACACAGAACAAGAATGATCAAATTTATTTGAACACCAGTTGTTTTTTTGTTTTTACACTTCCCAGCACAAACTGGGCAGCAAAGGTTGGAAAATTATCAGCTCACTGGAGACTGATTTGGTGCCACGGGCACCTGAGATCCCATACTACACACTTGAATTATTTTACCGGTTTAGAGTCTGCTTCTAAATTTCAGTCCCACCCATATACGGTGTGACATCTTTTGAGATGGTCAGGCACAACAGGATTTTTGTCAAGACTTCCTCAAATAAGTTTCCCTTGACTTCACACAGAAAAAAAAATTCCCTTTATTAGACCACCAGAGTCAGAGTTCAGAACAGCAGCATTACCAACTCTTACCTTCTGTAAGTCTACAGACCCTCAGTGATAGCTGCAGCTTGCTTCTGCGTGTGCACGCTGGGTATTAAACCTGCCAGCCAGGCTGGGAGAAGCCAGCAGAAGGACTTGGCCTGAAAATAAGACAATGAGCAAGAATTTCATTGTCACTGAAACATTCCCTTACCAAAAAATAAAAAAAACCCCACCACAATCAGACCGAAAAGAACCAGAATAAGAACCCCAAACAAACTAAAAACCTCCACCACACCAAGCAAGTATAAGGCACATTATAATACGATATTTCTTCCCCCCCTTTCCAACAACTTTACTTATCACTCCACGTTAATGGCAATGTATTAATTTAAAAATAAAATTCGCTGCAATATAACAGGAAATTGCAAGGATTTATGCTGGCAAACCCATGTTAAGTTCTTCAGACCCTCAGACCCTGCACACCCCACACATTTCACTCACGTAGCGCCTTTCCCCACACTTCTTCAAGCAGAACTGTGAGGTTTGCTGCTTCCTTTTATACCCAAAAGCGGGAAGGAGTTCGCATCAGAATTTGGGGATTTCCTGCTCTGCCCTCCCACACAAATTCCAGCTATCACTGCCAGCTCTCTCCGGCACACACACCATCGGCACGGCAGCTCTGCAATGGACTTTTATCAAGCCCTGTGCTAAAGAAAACACCAGCAGCTCCCGAGCCAACCTCTAAAGCGACGTCCCGGTGGTGCCTTCTCTCTCCTTTCCCGGCACCGCCCGTGCGAGCCTCGCACCCAAAGCCCTTTCCAGCGCGCAGCCCTCGCTGCCCGAGGCGCGATGCGATTTCGGCAGCCGAGGCAACATCTCCGCCTCTCAGCCCGACACCGCCCCATTCCCGGGGATGCCCCGCGGGCGGGGACAGGGCGGAGGCTGCCCCGGGCCCCTCCCGCCCCGCGCAGCCCCAGCGCAGCCGAGGCCGCTCGGCCGCGTCCCCGCCCGGGCGGCGACAGCCGCGGGGACAGCGCCCGCCTGGGCCGGGCAGCGACAGCGAGCCCCGCTGGGCTCTGCCGCAAGGCTTCTCCTCCTGCGACTGAGTCAACAGTACGCCGACAATTTGGGATCGAAAAAGAAGAAATAGACCCATGCAGCGCTTGCACTTCTTTTATTATTCCAGGAACAGGACCCACAAAATACATCCCAATAGAAGAAACGCTCTTGCATCTCTGTCTGGTATTAAACAGGTAAATTATGGTGTCTAAGAAGATATTATTAGAATAAACATATAGCAGTAGCAAAAAAACCCCTAAACAAACAAACAAAAAAAAAACCCAAAAAAATTACAATTAAGGTTTTGTCATTCAAATATTGCATAGGCACTATGTGCCCTTCTTTTACATTCTTTGTTAAAGGACCAGAACCAGGTTACAGGGAATAAACACAGGTGTTCTGGAGTGATGAAACAAAGTATTCTCAGCACAAATACCGCACAGGGACAAAAGCATACTTCATTCCCATTCTTGCCTTACTGCCTGTCCAGTTGTTAGCCAAAACCCCATCTATACAGGATGTTCAGGAATATCTGGAACAGGCTGCCTAAAACTCCTTTCAGCTCCAGGCAATGAATCAAGGCACTCAATGGATGTGACTGGAAGGTAAAAGGGGAGGGCAGCTACAAAAGTGCTCCAGCCTTGTCACAAGCAAAATTAACAACTTCACTACCATGGGCTCTCACTGCCTGACTCTGCCTGCTGGACATCAAAATGAAGTCAAGCACAGAAGAATCACTGAGAGAGCAAGTGGCATGGTTCTTGTGTCAGCCAGAACCTGGAGACCTCTGCACACAGGCACAGGAGGGGTTGGACATGGCAGGTGCTCTGTTTGTCTAAGCAGCTCTCTTATTCCTGCCAAGCCCAAGATCAAGATCACAGAAGAAGGTGCAGGCACAGCTGAAAGAGACAATTAGTGCAAAAGGAATCACCTTGTTCTAGGGAAATATAAATTTATTGTGTGATGGTACCTATGCAGCCAAGACATCTCCTCCTTAAGGACTGCAAAATCTGCCACAGAACAAAATGCTGGAAGTTTTGTTGTGCCGGATGAAGAAGAGGAAAGGATGATCAGCAGTGAATTCTGGAACTCTCATAGCACAGCGCATCATCATCACTGCAGCTGTGGCAGCAGCTGCTTCAGTGCCTTCTTCGTTGACTTCCACAAAGGATTTGTGAATCGCTTCAGAGAGCACCAGCTCATTACCAGATGAGATTCCTGAGAAGTCTGCCTTGCCCAAATCAAATGCATCAGGCATTCCCATGTTGCTCAGAAGTGGTTTCAGATCATAATTTTCTTCCAGTTTAAATCTGGGTAAAGACACCCTCACTTTTGTAGAGTCCATCATTTCAGGATTGATCCAATCTATTAGCTTCTCATATGTAAGTTCTCTTTCCAGCTGAAGAAAAATTCCAAATTTACTTAATTACAATGGCAATTGAGTCAGTGTTACACAAGCAAAAGAAGTGATTATGGGTTTTGTTTACATAGTGCATAAAATGCATCTTTTTAAAACCGGTTTGCCTGCCTCAAGCCAGAACTGCAAGTAATACCTGTCACTAGAGAATACTGACCCCACCAAGTTCATTACGAAATGTGTGCTTTGGTAGCTGTAATAGGGATCAGTCGCCTCCCTGTAACATTTACTCCTAGAGAACATGTTACATTGTTCAGGGTTTTTTTTAATTTTTACTTATGGGACAGAAAGGACACAGGAGAAAAGCTAACAAGGACTCAAAGAAACCAAACCCAGTTCTTCTATCTCTTTACCAAAGGTTCATCCTTGAGGTCAGTCAGCAGCATTATGAAAACAATGTGTTCACAAAGGCCCTTTGCAGTCAGTCTTAGAAAACTTTATTCATAAACTCCTGGTCCGGAGTGCCAAAGAGCCCAAACTTGTATCCTACCCCTACCACAAAAGAGATCCTGCCCTTTCCTCTGAGCCTCTTTCCAGCCAGTGAGCCACACACCACCTGCCAGCTGCGCAGCACTTCCAGTTTAAATCTGGGTAAAGACACCCTCACTTTTGTAGAGTCCATCATTTCAGGATTGATCCAATCTATTAGCTTCTCATATGTAAGTTCTCTTTCCAGCTGAAGAAAAATTCCAAATTTACTTAATTACAATGGCAATTGAGTCAGTGTTACACAAGCAAAAGAAGTGATTATGGGTTTTGTTTACATAGTGCATAAAATGCATCTTTTTAAAACCGGTTTGCCTGCCTCAAGCCAGAACTGCAAGTAATACCTGTCACTAGAGAATACTGACCCCACCAAGTTCATTACGAAATGTGTGCTTTGGTAGCTGTAATAGGGATCAGTCGCCTCCCTGTAACATTTACTCCTAGAGAACATGTTACATTGTTCAGGGTTTTTTTTAATTTTTACTTATGGGACAGAAAGGACACAGGAGAAAAGCTAACAAGGACTCAAAGAAACCAAACCCAGTTCTTCTATCTCTTTACCAAAGGTTCATCCTTGAGGTCAGTCAGCAGCATTATGAAAACAATGTGTTCACAAAGGCCCTTTGCAGTCAGTCTTAGAAAACTTTATTCATAAACTCCTGGTCCGGAGTGCCAAAGAGCCCAAACTTGTATCCTACCCCTACCACAAAAGAGATCCTGCCCTTTCCTCTGAGCCTCTTTCCAGCCAGTGAGCCACACACCACCTGCCAGCTGCGCAGCACAGAAGACCTACAGGACAAGCCACAGGACTTCCCAAGAGCCCACCCAAAGTCCCCCTCTCCCCATTCCATCATCACCATACTGTGCCTTCCCCACAACCACAGCTGAGCTCTGCTCCTGAGCAGGGCCAGCTCTCCTTCCAGAGCCTCTGGCCAAGGGAGCAGCACACAGCCTGAGCAGCACTGACACAGCAGGGGCTGTCACCTTGGGGACAGGGACGAGAGGGACATTGCTGATGGCCTTGAGCACCAGAGACACAATTGCTCTGCAACTGAACTGCAGGTCTCTGTGCAATTCAGGCTTTCTTCCCTGGAAGGATTCAGCATGTCTTTGCACTCAGCTCGACTACTTACTCTTTCCAGGCCTGTGGATCCATCCTGGATTGCATCAGGGAGCAGGATGATCATGCTCAGTTCATTACCCACATAGGGGAGCTCAAGGATTTTGGTCTGGAAGTCTCCAATGTAGGTCATGTTAAAATCTGCCTCCTTGAACATCATCTGCACAGGTCTGGTTTCATTCTAGAAATCAAGAGATGCCAACAGTGAGTGCTGAGCTTCTCTGCTGGTCTCACACTACGAAGCAGGCAGCAAGTTACTCATGGCCTTTTAGGATTTGTCCAAAGAGAACTGATCACACACCACAGAACACAGGCACCACACTGTCCTTTGTAAATAACTAAAAGTCCTGAGATCTCCTTTTTAATTATTAATGTAAAAATGTTTGTGAAGATCCTTTTATAGTAAATACATGTCCTCACCCTTTTGTTAACTTAAGAACTAGTGACAAGCACTAAAGTGAGCCAGTAATATGCAGGGGCATTGTTCTTCGCAATAAATGAGTAAGTTATTTCAGTGCATTTATTGTTGGTCCGTGTAGTTCTGTGTGGCTATAACAAAGAATTAAAATACTTTCAAATGTATATACTAAAAATACCAAGAATGAGTATTATTATGAATTCTTAACAGTCATAAGGATAGTAATAAGGGTAGAGATTTTATTCTCATTTTCACTATCTGCTCTCTTATTCCATTTCCACATGGAGTATCAGCTACTATTACTTACATCATTATTTTCATTCTTCTCAGTTTCATTGCTTTCTCCCTTTCCTTCATGAGATTGTCACATAAGTAGCTTTTTGTTATTGAAGTAGTGCCCATTGGAATAATGCTCAGAGAGAATATGGCAGAAATTATTTTGCAGCAGCAATGACACATAAAAAGGATTGATAAGCAAAAGGAAAGCCACAAAGCAATAGAAAATCATCCAATGAGTCATAAAAAGTGCAAGTCACAGAAATAATTTCACAGGATGTTGGAAATGTTCCTGGGATGTCAAAGTAACTCTTTGTTATTGAACAGCATGTAAAGTAACTAGCTTAAGGTTTCAGCTTACACCTTCCATTTCCAATTGTTCACGGAGGACAAGGTGTCAGAAACAAAGCCAATCTCTGAAGTGGTCTTGTACAGAGTATGGGGTGAATAGTAACACTCCCTTATTTAAACGTGCTAGTAGCCCTTAAAAGCCTTCTTGGATTTATTTCAGCTCTGCAGGGAGGGACAGTTTCCATACAGGCATGAGGGCTTCCATTTTCCACAATGGTTGCTTCAAGCAGCTGAGTTAAGGAAGGCACATTACCATGAACCAGGTTCATGACTCCGGGAGGCCAACCCAGAGCTGCAGAGGATCCTGAGGGGCAGCCATGGCCTGCCCATGCCAGGGGCCAAGTCCTCCTCAAGAGCACTGATCTACTTCTAAAAACAAGACTGCAGAGAACACAGGTCTTCAAAGGAAATTTGTTTTCCGTTTCTTTTGGATTGGCTCAGGGGCAGAAATGCAGCAGGGAAGCTCTGACTGAAGAAGGCTTAAATTCACAATCTTTCACACTGTTCTTCATACTTGGAATTATGTGAAAGTTCAGAGAAACTCAGCAAATATTGTATCCATATGAAAGGGAGAGGGCAGCAATAATCTCATACAGCCCACTCAAGGCAACCCTGCTTGAAAAATTAAATTTCCTCCTAAAGGTATTCATTTCAGGCTACTTCAGATTAACAGTGTATTGACAGAATTTTAGCACATTATACCTTATTAATTTGGAATGGCCTTTCTGTGGTACTCTGTTTGTTGAACTGCTCTTCCCAATTGCCTTTGAAATAGATGGCATTCACCAACACAAGCCTGGTCAGGGAATTCAGAATTCCCTCTGCCAACAGGTTCTGAATTTTACCTTTATCATACAAAGAAAAAAACACATTAATAGTTGGAAATGTATCTAAATATTATCCAAGACAGTATCTGCAATTAATAAACAATAGAGAATTATGTACCAGACACACAGCAATTGCTTGTCATCTGAGTTGTTTGAATTCACAATCCTATAGCCAGGGGTAGGTGTTTACCCAAACCATGGCTGCCATTAAACACAAAAGGGCACTTGGAAAAGCACTCACCTTCAGTCCTTTTCTCTACCCAGCCATTGATTTGTTTCCTGGCATCCTCCCAAGCATGTAGGAAGTCCATCTGTTCCAGGCCAGCATGGTAGGATTTCTGACTGGACTCTGTAAATGACTAACAGGCACATTCACAACAGATTTGCAGCAAGAGATTTACTCTCATTCAGACACCGATGATCCTTACATTCTCCACGGAAATCTGCCAGCTTTCCTTCTCCAGCTTCATATAGCTTAAAAATCTCACTGACAAGTTCCTACTAGGATTTATACCACTTTGAACTAGGAATTGTTATTAAAGCAAATGGCTTATGTACTGTAGTACAAATGTCTACATAAATTCTTTTAAAATTATAAGGGGGATTTTTACTGTTTCTAGTTTATGCTTCAGGCAGGTAACATATGATTTTATAAGTTTCTTTATCAGACTTTTCTAAAAGATATATCAACCATTTCTCCCACATCCAAATATATGAATGGATTACAGAACCCTCAAGTGTAGAGACTGATGGATTTTACCCTGCTTTGCCATATTCAGATCACATGTTATTTAAAAAAGATTCTTCACCAAGTTCAGACACCAGGCTCTGGCAGAATCTATTGCACTCCTGGCTCTCAGCACAGAAAACCTGGAAGGCAAACTCAAAGACTGCCTTGACCTTCAGAGGAAAGAGGTAGCAAGTGCTTTATCCTAACAATCACAACAAATTTAATGACTACTTACGGGAAGAAACTCAAAGGTCTTTTCTCCATAGAGCCGGTTTGCAGTTCTCAGGATGTATTTGCTGTTTGGATCATTGATTTCAGAGAGAAGGGATTGATACCCATTGTGAGCATCCTGGGCGTTCTCCAGAGAAAGCACCTGCACGAAGACAACATCTGCAGTGCTTGTACAAGTCATAAATTAGGGAGCAGCAAAGTAACTAGTCTGCATTGTCCTTTCCCCAGCCAAGCCCTACAGGATCATAGAATGGCTCAGTTTGGAAGGGACCCGTGGGGACAATCTGCTACAAAGCCCTGCCCAAGCGGGGACATGTACTGCCAGTAGTCCAGGACTGTGTCCAGATGGATTTTGAGTACTTCCAACTATGGCAACAACATAAGTTTTTGAGAAACTTATATTAATAGTAAATATGAGAAAAAAAATTACAGTTTTTTACTCATCTCTCACTTTGCAAAAGAGCCCAACATCAGAACCAAAAGGACTGATGTTGCACTTAATTTTGTCAGGTCATATGCAAAACACATGACAAGTACTATCTGCTACCTAAGGAAGTTTAAAACAAAAAAGTGTAAACCATGCTAAGTTTGACATTCAGTCACTATGGATTTGATTTTTATGTGTCTGACTATGTTTTGAAAACATATATTGTCTGATATTAAGCCCAAACAAGGAAGCAGAACATAATATTTTATGGAGCTAGAAATTGATCATGCCAAATTAAAAAAAAAAAAAAAAAAAGAAGAAAAGAAAAATACGTAGCTCTTAATTACATATGAAAGATGATCTGTCTCAAAAACCACAAAATCCCCACACAACAAAACCCAGGAAATGCTTCATTTCATAAAGAAGGAATGTTCCCTTTCAAAATCAATGAAAATTGATTGTCCTTATACACACCCCAGAGGAAGAGCTCTGCTCACTCACACCACAGTGACAATCACAGTTCAGCACACGTGCATGTCACACACTGGAAGACAACTCTGTTCCTCATATGATCCCATCAAATGCAATGCACCAAGTTTATTCTGACCTACCTTGCTTATCTGGGCTTCAGTGCTACCTCTTGAACCCAGCAAAACCATAGACAAAGCAGAAGAAATACTAAATGGTGAAAAGAACACATTCTGCCCACTTTTCTTCTCACACAGCATTCTTAACAGCTCCACAGCAAAAGTGCTGTTGGCTGCACAGAGGCTTTCCATGCTTCCGAGCCTAGCACATAAAACACAGAACAAGAACGATCAAATTTATTTGAACACCAGTTGTTTTTTGTTTTTACACTTCCCAGCACAAACTGGGCAGCAAAGGTTGGAAAATTATCAGCTCACTGGAGACTGATTTGGTGCCACAGGCACCTGAGATCCCATACTACACACTTGAATTATTTTACTGGTTTAGAGTCTGCTTCTAAATTTCAGTCCCACCCATATACGGTGTGACATCTTTTGAGGTGATCAAGCACAACAGAATTTTGGTCAGGACTTCCTGAAAAAAGTCTCCCTTGACTTCACACACAAAATGATTCCCCTTAATTGGACCACCATAGCCAAAGTTAGACATTTGAACAGCAGCATTACCAACTCTTACCTTCTGTAAGTCTGCAGACCTTCAGTGATAGCTGCACCTTGCTTCTATGTGTGCTTGCTGGGTTTTAAACCTGCCAGCCAGGCTGGGAGAAGCCAGCAGAATGACTTGGCCTGCTAGATAAAAGAAGGAAAGAAAAAAATTTATGTCGCCAGCATGACAGATGACTGCTGTATTACAAGGAAAAAAAATCAAAGTTCATTTTAGTTCCATTTTATTGCCTGCAACATGGCAACGCACACAATCATAAACTGTCATACTCTGTATTCATCTGCTATAGGCAGTGAATCTGAGATTAAACACCACACCTATTAAATGAGCAATAAGTACTAGAACACTGAGTTAACCACAGATACGTATCATAAGTCATCATAAGATAAATGCTGATAGTTTTACTATCTCTGTCTTTTGTTCATCCCTTTAGGCAGGGCCTAATGTTGACATGTTGCTACCAAATACAAAACCACCACCTAATTCGTACTACTGATTCATTATCTTAGACAGAGTTGAAAAGAGCAAGTTTCCACATGCATGCTTTTCAAACCAAGAAAATTTATTGCTAGGAGCTTTACTATAAAAAATAGCAATTTGATCCTATTTCTCTTCTCCCATAACTTGAAAGAAGTACAACCAAAAAACAAGCATGCTTAAATGGAAACAATCCTCCAATTGTGTCTGCATGAATGATTTATTCACTGAACAGAATAAAGAAGAGACACACAGCATTCACATTGGTTACAATGTAGACCAGAATTTTCCTACTATCCCAGTATCTGCAGATTGCTAGCAATAAGGTTTTTTTGACCTCTGGGTCAAAACACACAGAAATAGTGACACCAACAGGCTGTTATTTTCTAGAAGTGTCTGTAGGACTTCCACAACAGGCAAGAATTTACAGACAAAAGGACACAACTGACACTATTTGCCTGCCTGAAAATCAGGGGCATTTAAATAATAAATAATATTTATAAATATAACAAATAACATTCAACAGCTGGGACACAAAGCTAGGAGTTACATCTGCACAGTCCACTCTACTTTCTCTGCAGCTCAGGAGTAGCAACATAACTACGGACACCCTCTTCATCAGAGACAATGCACAATTTGGAATCCACAGTTTCAGAGACAATACACAATGACCGCACTTTAAGGAACAAAAAACCTCATGATACAAGTACATATTTGTCAGTCAATTGTAAACCACTGCAAAGCCCTCAGTGGTCAAAGGGTTTGCTGACAGCAGCTCATTCCTCACTGCTCTCCCCATGCTCTGCAGGTCAGCAGTGAGCCACCGGTGCAGAAGTTTTGTGTTCCTACCACTCTGAATTTGAAGCATATATTCTCAGCAGTCAATACCTATGCTTCAGGACAGTGTTTATGGACCAAAAGGCTGTATGTAGATCAATCAGCAGACAAGCACTGCAGGGCCTTGCCATGGGAAAACCACAGCAGGGTGCAGCTCTCCTCCAGCCTGCAGCTCAAGAGACACTTCCCACTAAACTACGATGTGGATCAGTGTCCGGCTAAGAAGGGCACTCCCCTACAGCGAGTCAGCTACATCAGAGGAGTCTCAAGCTGACTTTTTCAACCGCAGAGGGAATCAGGGCAGTGAGCACCAGGCCATGTCCATCTCCACAGACACAGTTCTGCCCGTGGCACAGACACCCCTTTCCCCACCCGCTGAACTAAAGCAGGCTTCCTTGACGGAAAAAGCTTAATTTAGGATTTGAAGAGTTGAGAGCGATGTTAAAACACTTGCAGGGCGAGACCGCGGACAGCTCCTGGTGATGGCCCTTGGCATCGCAGCTCTCCCTGGGACGCAGGGAATGACACAACCCCGCTGCTGTCGAGCTCCTGACCCCGGTGCCTCTGCAGGGGTGGGGAGGGGCCGGGAGGAGCCTGACACTGTCCCAGCAAGCTGAGGCACAAAAAGCCAAAGGTTTGGCCCTCCCTAGAGCGAAGAGTTTTTCTTCCGCCCCCGCCCCGAGATTCGCCCTGTGGGAGACGTCCCAACCCCGCGGTGCTCCCGGCGCTCCCGCAAGAAGCGCTCCAGCCGCACCGCCGCGGCTCCAGCTGGCAAGAAGCAGCTGTGTTTAGGGAATGTCACGAAAGAGGGAAGAAAAAGAAAGAAAATACAAAACACAGTAAAAGCAACGTCATTCAGCTCTACTTCCTAAAAAAAACCAAAAAAACAAAAAAACAAAAAAAAACCCAAGAAAACCCTAAAAAACACAGGCACAGGCTTCCCCGTAGAAAACCCGCACGACCACGCAGCAGCAGCAACAGCAACGCGGCCGCCGCACTCACCCCGCCGGCCGCCGCCTCCCTGTTCCCGGAAGCGCAGCCGAGCAGAGGGAAAGGACGGGAGCCCGGCCCCTCCCGGGATCTAGCCAGAGGCTGAGGCGCTTCACCCTTGGCCGCCGGGAACGGGAGGCGCCGCGGCCCCTCCCGGTAAAATGGCGGCCCCCCGCCTCAGTGAGTTCTGGCTGCCGCCTCTCCCCTCCCCTTGCAGCCCCGCCGGCCACGGCCCGTGTTTCTCCACCTCTGCCTCCCTCTCGTGGCAGAGCTGACAGAAAACACCCACGGTCCGTGAGGTGCTGTTGATTACTTGTTTCTGAAGCTAGGATTGCTTTGAGCCAAATTGAGCTGTTGCTGTAGCCGGACACCGTACGGACTTAACCCTTCCTCACTTTCCTGAGGGTTTGAGTGAGGCAAATAGCCATAAGAAAGCTGTATTTTTTTTTAAATTACTTTATTAAAAGGAATCTGTGGAGCAACATGAGGGTTATTGGGAGCTGATGAAGACTTGCAGCTGAGATGTGGAAGGCAAGGGGATGGCCACAGGGTGAAGGCTGGGAGGATCTGCCTCCAGTATTAACTCCAGGGCTTAGTCTGGGGCTAAAAAGCAGGAGCTGGGTCTGATTGCTGCAGGCTGGGGGTACATGCTAGGACTAGATCAGGATAAGTGGCCCTCATCATAAGGGTAAGGAGAAAGACTGGCAAAATATATTTATGCACAGTGCTGTGAGTCAGAGAGATATACAGTGATAAGGGCAGAGCTACCCGTGATGGCCTGATCCAAATGATATCCAGGATTGCTCCGTGGGTGCAAGGCATTGCACAATCCCTGTGGCACTGCCATGGTTGTCCCTTCAGTTTAGGAAGGAGTCATTGGAAAAGCTGTACCTCAGGCACCAGAGTGTGTGGTCTATTGAAGAAGGGGTTCAAGTCCTGCTCCCCTGGTTGCAGAGAGCCTCAGGTTTGGAGGTTTGGGGTTTGCCTCTGTGCTAGCAAGCAAGCATCTCCTGCTCTGCAGGACAAGGGCTCACCAGCTAGGGTGAGCAAAACCTGCCAAAGAAGAGGATGGTTTGTGATTTGTTGTGTTTGATAAAGAAGATAAAAGGGTGGTCAGCTTTGAAAGTCATCATTGTTGGGACTCTTGATCTCATCATCAAGACACCTGTGGCTGCTGCTGCCTCTGTACCTTCTTCATTCACCTCCACAAAAGCTTTGTGAATAACTTGTGAGATGAAAAGATCCTTCTTCACTGACATCCCTGTGAAATCAGCCTGACCTGGGTCAAAAGCATTTTGTATCCCCATGCTGCTCAGAGGGGATTTAAGGTCGTAATTTTCTTCCAGCTTCAACTTGGGCAGGTATAGATCCACTTCAGCTTTCATCATATTGTCTGATTTGGTCCATTCAGACAGTTTCTCATATGTCAGCTCTCTTTCCACCTGCAATGAGTTGAGGAAGAAAGCAGTTGGAATGTGAAGGACAGAGACAAGACATGCACAGACCAGTGTCTTCTTGCTCATCAAGAACATGTAAAGCAAGACCCAGCTACCAGCAGTGACTACAGATGGAACGTGCATAATATTTAGAGGGCATGATCTGCCAAAGTGCTGAGTGACTTATACTACTATTTATTTTCTTAAAGGTGGGGAGGTGTAGGCCTGAAGCCTCAGCGTAATTTATCTTTTTTTTTTTTTTTTTTTTTTTCCCTGATGTGAAGAACATTGCTGGTTTTGCAATGTATTACTTATAACAATAATAATGGGTGCTTGATATGTGTGTATATGGATAAATTTTCTCATAGTAGTGATAAATAAATGGGATGCATGGGAACTGAGGTACAAATAAAAATATTTGCCCTGCTCTGTTTAGAATCTGAAACTGATCCTGGCATAGTCATGAGTTGCTGTTGGCACCTTCTGGGTCAGGGTAGTCAGCACTTAGTTTGAGAAACCTCACTACAAACTATCAGCTGGAAATCCAGACTGCAAATTACGTAAGAATGAATTAATACAGCCCTCCCTCAGGAGAAGATAACTCTAGGGCATGGTGATCCTTGCTTTCCCTATGCTATACTGGCAGTAGGAAAGAGGATCCAAAATAGTTTAAGACAGTTGTGTGGACATAGGTTTCAGATGTACTGTGTTTGCAATGTACCCCATGTCCTGAATCCTAAGCTGAAAATCATGGTGTTACAGTTTCTGAAACAACGTATGAGCACATCAGAGCTATTCTACTGTGATTTTGAAGCTTGTTCTTCCTCACTCTTTTCATCTGTTTCTGTTACTGTTTCATAGTGTATGTGATGCAACTGTAGGTCAGCTTTACCAGCTCCAGGCCAGTAGTGTTATCACTGATGTCATCGGGAAGGAGAAGGAACATGCTGAGTTCATTTTCCACATATGGCAGCTCAATGATTCTGAATTTCATGGTGGTTTCATGGAATATGAAAAATTTGTCTTTCAAAAACATCATGTGTACTGGTTTAGTCTTGGTCTGGAAAAAATTCAGACATAAAAATTACCTTACACATTAAAAGGATGATAAAATTTACTTGCTTCATTGAACTGAAAACAAGTAAAAAATTCAGCAGCATCTGGATACCAGGACCCTTTTCTTTGGACAGGATCACATACACCCCTTTTCAAAGTCTTTGAGATCTTTATAAAAAATTAGTATAAACACACAAGCTAAACGTCTATTAACTGAATCCCATGTAATGTATTTCTAAATTTAAAATAAAGATTAAGAAACTGCCCTGAAGACACCTAGGTCAGTGAGGAAGGAGGGGGAGAAGGTGCTCCAGGCCCTGGAGCTGAGATTCCCCTGCAGCACATGGTGAAGACAATGGTAGTGCAAATATCCACCCTGCAACTCCTGGAGAACCCATGCTGGAGCAAGCTCCTGGCAGGACCTGTCATGCTGTGGAGAGCAGCCCTTTTCTGGCATCACCTGTGACCCTGCAGTGGACTCACACTGGAGCAGTTCTTGCAAAACTGCAGACCGTGGGAAGGACCCACGTGAAGGACTTTATCCCATGGACAGGATCCCACACTTGAGCAGAGGAAAAGTGTGAGGAGGAGGAGGAAGGAGCTGTAGAGACAGCATGCAATGAGCTGCCTACAACATTAGCCCATTCCCAGTCCCCTGCACTGCTTTGGGGCACAGGTGAGTCACAAGTGAAGTTGAGACTGGGAGGAAGGGAGCGTGAGGGGCAGGCACTTTATGTTTGGTTTACTTCACACTAACTTACTCTGAGAATTGGCAGTAAATTAATTTCTTGAAGTTGAGCCTGTTCTGCCCGTGATGGTAATTGGTAAATGCTCTCCCTGTTCTTTCCTGATCCATGCATGACCTTTTCATCCTATTTTTCTCCCCCATATCCAGCTGATAAGGGGCAGTGATAGGGAGTCTCAGTGGGCACCTGGTGGCCGGCCAAGGTCACCCACCACAACCAACTGCTGTGACACATCCTAAAACTGCACATGTAGTGTAGTAGGTTTCAGGTACACAGTCACATCAATTGCTTCACATTGTCTGGCATACAAAAGGTATTTGCACCCTTAATCTGTGTCAAACAAAATGTTTGTTTCCATTGACAAATAGTTTTGCTTGCTTTTGACACAGTCCAAAAATATGCGTGCAGTCAGCTACTGGGAATTGTCAGTGCATGATCATTTAAATACTGTTAGCTCAATGAATAGATCATCTGAATAGATCACCCTCACACACTCAGTTAAAATGACAAACCCCGTGAAAATTCCCTGTGAGGTTTGATGCAACTCCCAGGGTGCATGTGGGAAGAAGAGCTGGATGAGATCCCATGATCTCAGGGTCCCAAGACAGAAGTGAGCTATAGGTGTGTAATCATTGCTCCTCAAAAGCAACCTGGTCCTGTTTGAAAATGGTACTTAGAGACATTTCTTCTTGTCCTTAGGCTACTTTTCTTAACTTACTTTGCTTAGCTAACTTTGCTAGCTTATTATTTTTTTAAAAATTAACCTTTAACTGTTCCCCAATATTTTGATACTGAGGAGTTATAAATTAAAAATCCAGTTTTCATGGATGTGCATAAACAAGACAATGCTGAGTTATTTTCACAGTTTGTATTCTCCCTGACTTTATACCACTTTCTCAGCTATGAGTAGTGTTGCAGTGGCATATTAAATACAGGTAAAGTATTTTCTCCTCAGTAATAGACATATTAACATAGGACAGCAGGCATAACGACAAGGAATTTACCTTGCTTATTCTGAAGGGCATCTCAGAAGTATTTTTCTCCAGAAATTTCTTCTCCCACTTTCCTTTGAAATAAATGGCATTTACTAAGACCAGCACAGTGCGAGAATGCAGAGATCCTGCAGGCAGCAGACGCTGTATTTTCCCTTCAAAAATCAGACAAAGGGACTGTTATTCCATGTGACTGCACAACTTGCCAATTTTAACTGTTCCTTGCCTGTGCCTACCTCTCTTTCAAAAATGTTTGCATTTGTGAGGGTTTTTTTAATATGTATTTATGTTGTACATATGGTAAAAATGACTTTTTGAAGCATCTCTGTATCCTTTGTCCAGAGCAGTTGTGGATGCCCCATCCCTGGAAGTGTTCAAGGCCAGGTTGGATGGGGCTTTGAGCAACCTGGTCTAGTGGAAGATGTCCCTGTCCATGGCAGGGGGGTTGGAACAAGATGGTCCTTAAGGTCCCTACCAAACTAAACCATTCTATGAATTCTCTGGGTTTTGGGTTTTTTAAAATTATAGTAGTAAATGGCGTTTGGTAGTAATCGGCATTGGAAAGTGGGTAAAGCAGAATAGCTTGGATGTTCTGTGAAGTTGGTTGCAAGCAGCTGAAGAATGCAGAAGTAAAACCCTCACTAATCATTGTGTAGCCACAGAGTATCTACCTGTGCAGGCCTTTGAACAGCACTGATTCAGAGGAGGCTACAGCATAGAAAATTCACGGAAGGACCTTGTAAGGAGCGTAAGGAGCAGCAGTTAGGCTGGAGAGAGGCATTCTTCAGACTATTTAGCTGTACTTTACTCATCACTTCCCTGCCCCGAGTTTCCACCTTTTATGGAATCTTGGCTGCGAGAGCAATAAATGTGGAAATACAAAATATTTGAAAGTTAGGCAAGAAAAAAGCCATCAGAGTGATACTTACTCTCAGTTTTATTTTCTACCCATGAATTGATCTGTGCTCTGACTTGTTCTGCGGCT